TTTTTTATCAGATATTCTTCAATGGAATGAATAAAAACATTTAATAATTGAAATATTTTTTAACCATCTTAATATATAGTAGTAGTCAAAAATAATGAGAATTTTGATCATGTGATTTGATTTGTCACACTTTGAAAATCTTATAGTATAATATAAAAATTTTTTTACTATTTATAAAATAAGTATATATATCAATAATTGTACAATGTATAAGCCACATATTATACATATTCATCACACAAATTTGCCATATGTCATTTCAATCAATACTTGTAGACCAACGAACGACCGTAAGGCTATTTTGGAAGAATAAAGTTTATGAATCAAAAAAAATAGTAGCAATAACTCATATACCACTTTCTATTGTCTATCACTATATAACCAAACTCAAAAAAACTGGAAACTTGTTCTCTTGTACTTGCTCTGGTCAACCAAAAATTATTTCCATTAAGTAATGTCATCATCTAGGTCAGATTGTAAAACATCAAGCTAGTGTTACCTCTGTTGAACTTGCAACTCATCCTAACAAAACATATCATGGATTGAATGTATCAACATGGACAATACGTCGTAAACTTGTAGCTCTTAATTATAAGGTGGATCGTCCTCAATGTATACTATTATTAACACCTGTGCATATTGAAACTCGTCAAAATTAGGCACTTTGTCATCTTAATGACCACTAGAACCAAACAATTTTTTCTGACAAGGCAACCTTCCAGATGTTTCGAAATACCCAATTAGTCAGGTATAAGATTGATATAGAGTCATGACTACAAAAGACAATGGTAAAGCATCCATATAAGATTCACGTATGGGTGGCATTTTCTGCACAAGGTTCGATTAGTTTCATATGTTTACAGAGACTCTTATGGCTATTAGGTATTGCGAAATTCTTACTCAACATCTTTTTCCACATGCTTATAAGGCTGGGGCATGATGGCACTTTCAACAAGACAATGCACCTACACATATGGCCAAAATCACTAAAGAGCTCTTGGATTCTCATCATGTTTGTATTATTAATTGGCCTGTAAACAGCTCTGATCTGAATCCTATTGAGAATTTGTAGGCAATTTTAAAGAGAAGGGTTGAAAAACAAGTGAATATTCATGTCGCAGAAAATCAACATATATCTATAAGTGAGTTTCAACAAATTATTAAAAAAGAATGGATCGAAATTTATACCTTAAATTAGTAAATTCAATGTCCAAGCATTTAAATGAAGTAATTGAGTTAAAGGGCAAAAAAACAAAGTATTAAAAATTTTTTACCTTAAAATTGATGTATTAAGGCATTTAAATATGCAAAATTTAAAATTTTTTAAATAAAATTTAAGGCCTAATAATCAATTTAAAATTCTCATTATTTTTGACCACTACTGTAATTGATGAATATCCAGTTGAAAATTTTTATAGTCTTGTTCATAAAAATACAACTTCAAAATTAACAAATTCAAAAACTCTTAGACAATATACTATTTTTATAGATAATGAAAAACATGAAAATAAATTTATTGAATCTTTTATTAAAACTAAAAACTATCCATTTTCTAAACCTCAATTAGATTCTTTATCTAATTTAACAAGTATTTTTCTTTTGAATTTTTTTAAAAATTTTTATCAAAAACAAAATGAATTTAAAATTGAAGGAAATGGAAAACAAACTAAAGTTTATATTCCATCAATTGAAAAAAGTTTTACAAAAGGAATTCTTCCATCAGCATATCATACCAATCAAATTCCAAATAAAGAAAAACCTTGTAATTTACAATCTTATAATAATATAGATTCTAATATAAAAGTTTTATTATGTGGATATTCTTATTATATTATCTGTTTTAATAATTTATTAGATTCTAATTGCAATTATTGTTTTCAATATTATAAAGTATCAATTGAAAAATTGGTTACTTCTTTTAATTCTCAATTGACTTTAGAAGAAAGAAATTAAGAAAATAATAAAAATAGAGATAAAATAGATAATAATATTATTGATATTGGAAAAATAAATAATAATGAAATATTTGACAATTTTAATTTAAATGAAAATAACCATAATAATGAATTAATGATAGCTATTTATGATTTTATTTCATCAACAAATGAAATTTAATAACTAATTTTAAGAAACTTTCTATTGATTTTTCAGAAATATAAATAATGAAGAAATATCTTACTTACTGTATTTAACAAAAGAAAAAGAAATTCATATCTTACAAATCCAATTAAAAAAAATAATTTATTTTTTAAATCATTATTTATAAATAGTAACTTAAATTAATAAATTTTTTATAATAATAAAATAATTTTTTTTTATATAAAATATGATTTAATTATTTTTTTTATAAATTATTTTTTTAGTAAACTATTTCTATTTATAATATAAATCTATAAATTTTAAAAAAAATTTTTTAATGAATAGTTTATATTTATGTATGCTTTATCTTAATTTATATTATATTTAACTAATGATAGTTCCGCGAAACATTAATAGCACAAGTGCCGTAAGGGTGATGCATGAGCGACATCCCCATGTCATTTATTTTTGGTAAAAAATCTCTGCTCTTTTTATGGTAAGTTCGCTGAAATTTTGCCAAGAAAATCTCGGACATATTGGAATAAAACATCACGTAAACGTAAAATATGTATAATTACCAGGGTTTCCTTTTTTTAATCAACCATGGTGTAGCACATGATACGCAGCCACTGTGACTGCCTTCGGCAACTATATAGAAAAATAACTATTTTGATCAACTGTAAAATCGTGATTTTTCGGTTACACTGACTACAGAATAACAAATTAAAAGGGTTTTATACGTTATATTTTAAAGATTGAATGGATCGATCAATCTTTCCTATAATGGATTATGATCTTATATTCATTAATATACATGCATTTGCATATAAAATCTTTTGTTCTGATACAACCCATTATATAGCTATGGAATAATTATATAGACAAATTTTCTTATTCCGGCTGTAAAGTAACCTTGTTTTATAAGTGATATTATTTATGCTACATTATTATTTAACATCGGATATCAGACCCTCGACCTTCATTTCATGTGTCTGATGTTGCCTTTGCAAAACGTGTACCGGAAACATTTACTGCGACTAAACTTTATTTTTTCATTGAATTCAGTCTTCACTTGACACAAATAAGTTCAGTACAAAATATGTTTATAAAAAAAGTTATTTTTTTTTGTGAACACCTTGTTCTTTTTGTTTCAGGAGTATTATCCGGAACTGATATCCAATCGCGCACACAATCAGAACCATCTTCATTGATCATGTCTTCTCCACCCATTTTCCCTTCACGGATTGTCGTTCCGCGAGCAATGCCTATAATAGCGAATAAACCCCGCGATAAGTAATAGTAAATGAGATACATTTTATGTCTGGCAAAAGAATACCTCAAAATAGACGCCTATCTTTGCAATCTTAGCTAGAAACCATCGATCCGTATATGAATTTGGAATTTTACAATTAAATATTTCATATATTCTATACAGTTTCCTACAAATGAGATCTGTGATGTAGATTGACATAGAATATTCTAAAAGCATATAATTTAGGTAAGCCTTAACATAAATCCCATTCATGCAAAAACAAAAGGAAATCATATACTATATCCATGGATGCCGATGGATTTGAGTTTTTTCGCCGTTGTTACGGAGGATTTTCCATACTGCAAGAAGTGATAATTTAGATCATCTACTCCGTTACGCGCTAATTTCGTTATATCTCCCATATAATGTGTTGAATCAAATTCTGTAGGCCCAAAGGACTGTTCATATATAACTGTAGCATTATCATCCTGATACAAGACAGCATCGTTCTTGTCACCTCTCTTTGAATTTGACTGTTTTTTGATCAATATTTATGGTATAAATTCTATCTTTGTGCGCTTCGTTTACAATTTCTCCACTAAAGGCCAAAAATAGTGTCAAATTATCATAAAGCAAAAGTTCAAAATTAAAAACTTACAAGGCAATTCCTGATGTTAATTTTCCAAAAAAAACATCGAAAATAAATCAAGAATGCGATAGACTGTTTGGTTGTACCAAGTTTTTTCGTCACCATCTATCTGTAAACCGCCATAATAGAAGTAAAAAATAAAGTGCCGGCAAACTTATTTGTCCATAACAGTAATGGTCACGCGTCCTTACTGAGTGGCTCTTTTACTTTTGACAACGCACTTTCAATATCCCCACTGAGCAAATCGTGAAGATATTCTTTGATATCTTTGGGAATATCAATTTCAAAGGTAGTGTCGTGAACAATTTTCTCAAACCGGTCCTCCGCATCCAGTTCCGACAATTTTCTAAATGGTTCACATAGCACATATATATTGCGTTTTCTCATATATTGGAAAAGTTCATTTTTATTATTTTTTTTTGCAACCTATATAATGAATGTGTAGGTGTAGAATATGCAGTGAAGGAAAAGAACGTATTGTCCAATATTTCTCATACTTCAGTTTCTGATGTTTCTGACTGCCCTTGTACAACGTCGTTAGCAGTCACTTTGTTCTAAGCATGAAACATATTAGTGACCTACTTGTTACCTAAGGCAACATTGAAAAATCGTTTGTAACCCCACCTTCTTCGTCAGAGTCATAGCTCCTTCGGCATTCTCTTTACCATGTGCATCTCGAGGATGTTTTCTCGAAATTACACGTCGATTGTCGAAGTTCTGGGTTGCGAAATCCCCGGTTAAGTTGTTAAATTTCTTAATCTTCTTTACCTTATTGATGATAACGCTAATTAATCTTTTTGTCCTATAAAATTTTCAGATTAGAATCCTACCTGCTGTAGACCGGAGGGTTTCAATGTATCCGTATTCACTTGTGTACACCATCCCTTTAACAATATAGAATACTTAAAGAAACATTTCACAACAATAATATAGAAAATAAAGCATCGAACTAAAAGCCATCCTTCAGACTAAGAGTCCCAGCTTGCACTAAGCGTCGAACTAAGAATTCATCACTGGAGACTAAGAGTCCCAGCTTGCACTAAGCGTCGAACTAAGAGTTCATTACTGTTGGACTAAGCTTTTAACTCGTTATACTAATATTAATAATGAGGATATTTTCCAATTATCAAGAATTTTTGAGCTTTTCTTCTACGCGTCTCGTCAAACTCAGAAACCAAAACAACAATTCTTTAAAGATCCTTTTTTATGTAATCCAGTACTATTTTCCTTTCCCTTTCTTTTTGCTTCAATTTCGTCCAATAATTCTCTACCAAATTAGCACACGTCCAGTCCTCGATGGCGGTGACGTGGTAAAAAGATATAAAAGATATGTTCCGAAATTGAGTTGAGAAAAGTGATAAACGCGTAAGAATGATGATCAAATAACCGTTTGATTAGTAAACAAAATCCTTAATTTTTATTGGTTGAAACTTATGTATAATCATTCGCACCCTTAATCTTTATCAAAAACTGTTCCCAGATTACAGAGATGATATTTGCGAATCTTTGACTTGAATCTGAAGAATTTGATGAATAAGCAGAAGACGATGAATCAACGGAAGATGATGATGCCTCGCTTTGCTGGCCAGATTAACAATCTGGACAAGGGAGTGCCATTTATTGATTTCACTCTGGAGCGTTGTGTTTATCCTGCCGACCGATTCGAAATCAGTTGTAATTTGACTAAAATTATTATGGTAGGTTAATGATATTCTGTGCCTCCGTTGCATAGTTAACGTCATGGAAGCTCATTTTTGCGGTAAGATCGTTATTAATTTCGGCTTTGATCTCAGCGATAGTAGTGTTGATCTTGGTTTACAAGAGTTTGTCTCATCGACGATTTTTTGTCTGACATCACACAAAAAGAATCATATGGCGATGAACCCCACACATAAGTGGATATTTTCGGGAATCATCTTCGTAACGGCAAAAACAAAGAAGCGGTTACAACCATAAAAGGCATATTTTCTGAAATGTTAAATGGCTGCATTTATACGAACAAAATTCAATTAGAATAATAATCGTGGGTGTGTAGATATTTAGTGGCTAAGCTTGATGGATTCGCTTTTAAAAAAGATTAATTTTACTGTGATGTTTTATTATTTGTAAGGATAGAAGATGCCAGAATAATCTTTTAATTTGATAGAAAACGTAATCAGGTATTAATAGCATTTCCTTGATTATTAATAGCATTTATTCTTTAGTTTCGAAAATTAAAGATAATCATGTAAATCATTTTACAGACTAAGAATGAATGGATCACTTAGGGGATGATAGCAAGACATTCAATTTTAGTAGTAGAATAATTGAGTTCAGGTTCAATAAAACTTCAACTTGTATAAACTATTATATGTTCTTTTTCTTGTTCATTTAATTGAGCTAGAACAGCTTCCAGTTTTTTGTAAGAAGTATCAGTATATAAGAGAAAAGGCTTGGAAAAATATGGATAGGTTAAGATTGATGTAATAGTTAATTTTTCCTTAAGTTTTTTAAATGTTAATTAATATTTTTCATTTCAAAGATATGGTGTATTTTTCCTTAAAAGCTTATTTATTGATTTAGCTATGATAATAAAACTTGGTCTGAAGTAAGTGGTAGTAATAATATATTAGTTCAATAAATCCTCACAATTCAATAATATTGGTTGGTATAAAAATGTTTTTTACCTTTTCCACTTTGGCTAGATCAATGATATATTTCAAAAATACAAGTCTTTTTTTGAAAAGGTGACATTTTTTCAAATTGAGCTTGAGATTGACTTATCTAAACCTAGTGATCACAACAAATCAAATTGGATCAGATTTTAATTAGATTTGATTCAATCAAATTTTTATAAATATGAATTGGATATAGATCTAATTTGTTTTAAACTGATCCAATCTGATTTGAAACTATAACAGTTTGATTTGATCTGATTTAAATATGAATCTAATTCAATTCAATTTGATTTAATGTGAAATTAATTTGAAACTGATTTGATATATTTTAAACCTATTTCAAAGCATATTCAACTATAATTACTTTAATTTAACTAAATTAAATTAAATATATTTAAATTAACCTAGCTTTATTTTAATAAAAAATTTTTTCTTTTATTAAATTTAAACAAATTTATTTATTCTATCCATGATTATTCACTTATTTCTATATTAATATACACCCTATTATAGCCAATACCTTATAAAATAACTTGATTTTCTATATTGTTTTTTTCTTTATTTTTTATTATTGATGTTTTAAGTACTTGCAAAGCATATTGATCTATCAATAATTGATTATAACAATAATTTATATAGTATACTTTTTTTTTACCTTCCTTTCATTTTTTTATAGCTGATACTATTTTTTGACCAAATTTTAGAACAATCCATAAGTTATACCTTCCATAAGTAATATTGTAGTACTATACAATTTATTCTTTAATTAGCAATAAAGAGTATTTCCTAATAAAAATTGTAATAATTTTAATTTGTTAATAGCTTAAATTTTTAATAATTTGTAATATTTAAAAATTCCAATTATTTCAATTTTAATTTTCCATTTAATTATATAAAAGTTGACTTTATCAAAATTCCTTTCACTACAAATAAATTCATTATTATTAATAGGTTATATTTTTTTCAAACAAGTAGCTACAATTGCATGATTCAAAAGATTGAAGTTGGTGTAGGTAAATTTATTATATCTTCAAACTACATAGATCTTACATAGACTTAAAAGATAGTTTAAATATATTTTTTTATTATGAAAAAAACTATAATTCCTTTATCAGTAGTACTATGTTTATTACTATCCAATAGGATAGATTATATTCTTCTATTTTTTTTTTTTTTGTATACTTGAGATCATATTTTTAGGAAATATACATATAGTATAGTTAAAAAAGAAACTGTTTATCACTATAACTTTTTCTTCTTACAAATATTGCCTTTTGAACTCTTGTAATTTATCAGATATATTATGCATATAGGTAAAGATTTCACTTTCTCTTATTAAAAAATACCTGCAAATATTAATACCAATAAAGTTTTAAAAATTAAAAACTCGAGTTTAATTAAATATATATCCTGCAATTATTAAGGCACCTTGATTCAATTCTTTAATTTTTGATAATTAGACAACTTATTAGTGCAAAACAAAATATCAATAATTGTGTTTCTCATAAGTTTAAGTATATCAGAACTAATATGATTTTGACATATAATCAATATCATCCTGTTGAAGGTTCTATCACAAACTATTATTTCATTATTTTTTTTTATTATTCTTGAAAGACAGAAGGTAGCATCAATCACAAGTATATTGGAAAGTAAGGAATTTGTTTTTTCAAATATTTATTTTTTTTATATTTTTTTTCAGTGTAACCAAAAAGAAATCAAGATATATTATTTTTATTACATGTATTTTCTTAAGATACTTTTGAGTCAATAAATTTTTTCTGATCTGTAATTTAGTTAAGTTAAATTAATACAGTTTCAAAAAAATTGCAAAAATTTTAACTTGCAAAATTTTTATAGATTTTTTTTGAAGATTTTTTTATATTGTTAATATTAGTTCTTAAAGCAGTAGCATATTTTTTATGTCATTATCACAAATAATCAAGAACCTCAAAAAATCACTCTATCAGTTAACCAAATATAGTTTTATTATTAATAAACTTGAAAATATATCAAGTATTTTTATTATATTTACTTTCTGATAAGTATTAACATTAAGGTTATAAATAATCTGATGAATATTCAATAAATTATGTATTGATTCACTTAAAAATATAACATATTTTATTTGATCATTGTATTTTTGTAATATAAGAAAATAGAGAGTAGCAACAAAGGTTTCTAAATTGAAGTATTTAAAATAAGCTTAATATATATAGCATTTTACTATTGTAAAATAAAAAATCAATAGCTAAATGCAACCTGTTATCAATAAAATTCCATATATTGATTCAGGTTTTCTACTAGGGGCAAATAATATTAACTGATACCTGTAAGCAATGTATAACAACAAGCTTGCCTGCACTAGTTCAGGATTTTTCATTGAAGGTATTAGACATTTTTGTTATACTATTCCTGCCTTAGTATCAACACAAATATAGGTTTTTAGTTTAGGATTTCTCTTTGGAAGCAATATTGATGCACCATTAACACTTACAAATACTACTTTGTATTGACAGGCCTGTCTATACTAGTTCAAAATTATCTACTGAAGACATATAGCATACTTAACTGATGCAGTATATAAAGGGCATGTCAATTTAAAAATTTCCTTCATTTACCTTTTGTAGAAAGGAATCTGTAATTTTTTGTAGCTTTTTGACTTTTATTAACTTGATATATGTTAGTTGAATAGTGTTACAATTGATACTAGTAGTAATAAAGTAATAATAGGGTATTATGACATTGATAAATATTGCTTTTTTATTTGTAGTATGTACCAATCGATTATAGTTAAGGATAAATAAAACTGGGAATTGAAAGTAATTGTTATATTTAGATTAATAGTAATAAAATAATAGCAATAATATGTACAGTATCAACAAAGCATTACTTATTTATAGCTATTAAATATAAAACTTATGGTTAACTGTAATTGATAGTCAATATGATTGAGAATTGATAAAGTTAAAACAAACTATTAAA